AAACATTAAGTCTTATATAAATATACGTACAGAAATCAATGCAATTGTATATATATATCTATATATAAACAATCACACACTTGATTAAAACATTAAATTCTTGAAAGCGTTCAAATCAATTTTAATCTACCACCTAGGTGTACCCATTTATTTTTCTGTCAATTCCTTTAATCCGTCAATTCCATCCTCGTGCTACCGGAGTGACACGTCCTAGCAGACCTCGGGAAACACAAAGTCACCCGAAACGCAATCCTAGCAGATTTCAGGGGACACTTGGTCGGCCTGATCCGCATACCTCGCTCCCACGGTCCCTGGTACCTCTTAGGACTCGCAGAGCGTAAGTCAAGCATGCTGACATATCTGAAGGCAACTGGAAGTCCGTCGACATCATTATAACCGAAGGCAACTGGATGTCCGTAGACATCGTTATAACCAAAGGCAACTGGATGTCCGTAGACATCATTATAACCGAAGGTAACATATTTCCGAGGCAACATTTATTATACCGAAGGCAACCTTTTATACTTGGGTACCTATGGTGGTTTTTAAAATAAATATATTTTCCTGAAAAATATTAGAATTTATAAAACTACCTCTTAATTATCCTGAAATCCTGCTGCCATTCAATCTGATAATTATCTAACTTTTTATTTTCCCTATCCTTTAAGGATTCTCAACTCAGCAGCAAATAAATAAAAAGGATTTAAAACCAGCAATAACATGCTAGAAAAACATCAATCATTAAATATTTATTCAAGATCAAATAATGACATTAATTGCATAAAATCATTTATAAAACAAACAGTCCACTCACAGATGCTCTGAGCTAGCTGGACCCTTTTGAAGGTCCCTTCTGCGGGTCACCTTGTGCCCGGGTACCTGAATAACCATCATAATCTTTTATTAATAACTCTGCTCTATAATATAATATTAAAATAAAAACCCTGACCCCCGGCTCCTAAAAGTGCGTGCATCTCTTGTAAAGGTCATTCCTATGCCCACATTAACTTTCCTCGCAATGGGCATGCTTTAGTAGTAACTCGGGACTCAAAAGCGATAAAGTCCCAAAAAGTCAACTCGGGACCTCGTGAGGTCCATGACCTCAGAATTCTGATCCGATCATTCCTAGAGGTTCCACTATGCCTAGGACACATGTCCCGAGAGTTTGGTCTCGATCGGAAGGTCGGATTACTCACGATTGCACAGACGAACGATTTTCCGTAATACCAACACTAGGGTTGGCCTTTTCGGAGTATCCGGGACTCCGATTCACAATCCGTCGAATCCTACACGATCCTGAAAGTACCTAGATCAACATACTCCAGTCTGACTACGATCCAACGGTCTGAACGTATTGAACCCGAAAATCACACACTATGCGAGATCCGTTTGGGGTTCAAACATTATCCAAATTGAGATCCGCGAAATCCTACGCGCTCATGAGGACATGAGGATCATTCTAGGACCAAGAGTGGTCCTAGATACCTGGCTCACGCGCCGTCCACGCACCGGCAGCGCATGGGTGTGCATAGTAAATTCCGACGGCCGGAAAATCTCCAAACCGCCGGCCCAAACTCCTAGCCTAGGTAAAACACCTAATTTGGAACCACTTTTGTTCTTGGACTATAGCCAAACAGTGGCTGGAAGTGGCTAAAACTGATCTCTCAAACTCGGCAGAATTTCAACTCGAAATTTAACCTGTCAAACCTCAAAATCTCTCCAATCCTACCCAACCATCAGCTAGATCGTGGAAAATAGCTAGAAATCCATACCTAATTCGTCCGATTTGATGGCCGGAGGAGAGAGAACGAAGCTTGGGAAGTTTTGCCAAAAACCGACAGTTTCGACGCTTTTTCCGGCGAGATCTCCGACTGACGATGGCTGGGAGGCGGCGGAATGAGAAGCTGGGGTGGTGGCGGTCCTAACCCGACCGGTCTCGTGGATTGGGGTGGAGTGTGACGGTGATTATGGTGGTGAGAAGGTGGCTGGAAAATAACAGAGGGGAGGGCTGTCGCAGGGAGAAGAAGGAGAGGAGAAGAATCAGGTTTTTAAAAAAAATCTGATCTTGAAAAATTACCAAACTGCCCCTCAACTTAAATTGCTCGTATTTCCTTCGTTACAAGTCCGATTTGAGCCCACTACGTGTCAACGGACTCGTTTCATCGCGCTCTACCCAACGGTACAAGTGGATTTCCAAAATTCCTTCCCGGTCAACGAGTCAATTTAAAACCAAATAAAATATTCCAAGGGTATAATTGTCTTTTCCTCTAATAAATAAATAATTAAATAATAATTAAGGTTTGGGTTGTTACATCTCAAGTCAAACAAGTATTTTATGTTGACGACCCAATGCATCGTGGTTGGTCGGTAGTGTTATCAATGCCTAGTAGAGAATATAATGATGTTATTGGTGATGATGTGCTAGGCGATATTAGAATTGAGTGTGAGCCATTTTCTAGAGGGATACCAAATGTTGACACATTTGATGACCTAGTGGGTGAGTTTGGGAGTGAGAATATTAGAGATGGGTGTGAAGATATATGGATTGATTGATTGTTGTAATGTATGACAGTACCTGGTATCAGAGCCTAAAGTCCCTAGAAGAGTTGTTAAGTTTAAGGTTCAAACTAAGTTGTTGGTTTAATCTTCTGGTTTTTCTGTCAAGTTTCCTTTACTCACTAGTCATCGAGTTGTCTAGCTGTCAGATAGGCTCATTAGCCGTTGCCCGATAAGCTAAGGCGTTGAGAGACCTAGGCAGGGATTAGCAACCTTGAATTAGGAGGAGAACAGAAGGAAAGCATAAAATCCAGAATTTTAAAATGGCAAGCCTTAGGAGAATCTTGTCTATCCGTTCTTCTGGAGAAGCAAGCTCTAGTAACAGTCCTAGCCATAGAACCCTACGAGTTAAAAACTCTCAAGAAATAATCATGCGGGACGTAGAAAAGGAGTTGTGCAACTGGGATATACCCAGAGTACCCATCACTGATATATACTATAAAGGATCTTTCAAGTTCAGATCTGATTACGCAATAAAAACTGTTGAAAAAACGATATCTGTCATTGATAAAAAAAGATAGTTTTCAGCTATTCACCCAGAGTCAAATCGACCAGCATCTGGAGAGAAATTATAACTATTTGCACATAGGATTGGTGCAGGTAGCGGTGAAACCACTTACCAGAACAGGATTGCCCAGTTCAATGATATCTGTCATTGATAAAAAAGATAGTTCAGCTATTCACCCAGAGTCAAATCGACCAGCATCTGGAGAGAAATTATAACTATTTGCACATAGGATTGGTGCAGGTAGCGGTGAAACCACTTACCAGAACAGGATTGCCCAGTTCAATCTTGATTTGTGTAAGAGATGAAAGACATAGAAAGTTCACGGATTCCTTATTAGGAATAATTGAGTCAACCTTAGGGGAAGGTCCGATATACTTTAACTGTTTCCCAAACTTTTCTGTTGCACTTTCCGACGTAAATGTCTTAAAAGCGTTAACATTGAATATTCAAACTCAGGGTTATGATATGGACCCAGGATCCCAAAATCTAGCGATCATTTATAGGGTTTCATATAAGGTTATGAACACTGTCTGTCCCAAAGCTAAAGATTTAGACAGCAAAGGTGAAACTACCTTGTTCCAAACCAACCTTGAAAAATCAAACGTAGCAGTCCCAAAAATGATAAAGTGGAGTGATATAACCCTACCAGAAAAGTGGATTTTGGATGAAATAGTCCCAAAGAAGCCCCTTGAAAATCAAGAACCCACTCGGATCTCCCAATTCGCTGATGGAGAGGTAGAAATACAATTCTCCAACGCTAGAAAAACTAGGATTGATCTAGCACCCTCTGGATCTAACCTAGAACCACATAGGTCGAGTACCTCTAGGATTGATCTAGCACCCTCTAGATCCAACCTAGAACCCCATAGGTCGAGCACCTCCTCTGATATAGCTTACGATCTAGACCATGACAGAATGATCTTGACAGGACTTAGGAGAACCCAGGAACAGACACAAAGGCCAGCCTACAGGTTTGAGCAAACCCTTCCAAACCCAGGAATTAGGATAAATCCACCTCAACCCGAGCCTTCCTTCTCGGATGTAGAATTTGAAATAAATATGTTAAAATCCTTCGAAATAGAACACGAAAAGATAAAAAGGAATTATCTGAGTATTGAAAATATTAATAAAAGAATCTGGTTTGAAACAGCCTTTCAGGAGCATAGGCAAAATCATCTCTGGAAAGCCCATACCGCCTTTATGAAAGAAAAGAAATTCAATTGTTTCTTTTTTACGTGGTTAGATTGGTGTGCTCAGAAATATGACATTCCTGAATATAGGAGCCATATAGAGATGATAGGAAGCCCATTCTCGACTTACACTTCCAAAGATGGGAAATCAGTAAAAGCCGTACATCCACCCGAGATGGTAATTAAACAGAAAGATATGATAGCGGCTCCCTACAAAGAATAGACCCACTCCAGTAAATTACACAAAAAGACCCAAAACAAGCCCAACTCAGACTTTTAAAAAAACCCAAACTTAAGTATTAAAAAAAAAAAAACACGAAAACCAAGGGCATGTCCCCACGATCCTTCCTTCTCCATTGATCCTCTGCAAACCATGTCATAGAAATACATTGTTAATACCATATCATAGAAGTACATTGTTAATACCATTTTATAGAAACATATTGTTAATACCATTTCATAGAAACAAATTGTTAATACCATTTCATAACAAAAAAAAAACATTGTTAATACCATTTCATACAAAAAAAACCATTGTTAATACCATTTCATACCAAAAAAAAAAAGCACGTATGAGAAAAAGAAAAGAAAAAAAAATATTGTTAATACCATTTCATACAAACAGAACATTGTTAATACAATTTCTTACAAAAAAAACATTGTTAATACCATTTCATACAAAAAAAACCATTGTTAATACCATTTCATACCAAAAAAAAAAAAAATTAATACCATTTTATATTTTTAAAAAAACCCAAAAAATCCCAGCAAGACATTCGATATCCTTTAAAGAAACCGTCTCAAATTGTCTACAGTTTCACCAGATACAATTGCAAAGGCAAAAGGAAATACCTCTGCAAGAAAAAAAAGTACACTGTTTAATACTATGTCATAGAACTATATTCCTAGTAAAAATCACATTCTGCATATCATAAACTTCAAGTGCACAACCATATATATAGAGCAAAATATAGAGCATGCTTTGTTATTGAAAATCTGTTAATACTATGTCATAGAAGTACACTGTTAATACCATGTCATAGAAATCAACTCAGTTGCAAGGTATGAACTGTTGTTATACTGTTCATACCAATCACTGGAAGTTAACAACTACATCATTTCATTTGCATAATCGGTACGATAAAAGTGTACAACTTCATACCACTCAAAATCAATTAAATCATTTCATTTGCATAAATAATTGATCCTTCATCACTCCACATACCATAAACATTGAAGAATCCGAAATGTGACACTTAGAATAAGATAATATGCTATCTAACAGCAAATTCTTATATACATTTGTGTATGATAAGTCTGGTAAACTCACAACAGGCAGGATTAGGGGACCAGACGTGGCCAGATAAGTTGTCACCCTCATCCATCATGCTCATGGCACAAGAAGTCTCTGTCATACCATATCCTTCAATTACTTGACAGCTAAAGCACCTACGATTTTCGTTACATATGCAGCAAAAATTTCATTGGTCTTAACACTTGAGAAAAAAAAAATGAAATTTTTTTTAAAATTGCATTCTATAAGATAGCCAACTTACACTCTAAGGAAGTCCATGACATCAGGGGACAAGGGTGAAGCACC